GACATAAATATATATAATATATTATTATATAAATAATATATGTAATATATTGTTATATAAAAAGTTATATAATTTTTTTTTCGAGTCATTTTGAACCGAACACGAGCGAACAAATTGTTGTTCGTGTTCGACTCGTTTACATTTCGAGCTTAAAAATTTGTTCGTGTTGGCTCGTTAGGCTTAACGAACGAGCCGAACACGAGCTGCTTAACGAGCCGAACACGAGCTGTTCACGAACAACGAGCCAAATTGACAGCCCTACCCACATCTCAACTCTTCCATTCCTATAACACCTGTCCAAGTAATAGAAAAATTATCATGGCCAATGGCTCTTTAGCTATCGTTGCAGGGATTGGTGATATACATATCACACCTAGCCTTATCCTGAAAAACGTTCTTCATGTACCCAAACTGTCAACAAGCCTTGTGTCCATTCAAAAATTGACTCATGATCTCAAATGTTATGTTGTTTTTTTTTCCTTATTTTGTTTTTCAGAAACAGGACTCGGGGAGGAGGATTGGACTTGCTAAGGAAAGGAGCGGTCTTTACCACCTTGAACCATCCCAGAAACTCAGGAGCAATTTGTCCTCATCTTTCCTTAGTTCCTCAAACAAATATGTCATTTGGCTGTATCACTTACGCCTTGGTCATCCATCTTTTAGGGTTAATGTTTATTCATTTATTCCAAGGATTAAATATTTATGAGTTTCATTGTGACATTTGTGAATTGACAAAACATACCCGTGTATTTTTTCCTATTAGCAATAAAAGAAGTTCTCATCCTTTTCATCTGATTCGTAGTGACATATGGGGTCCTTCCACTATACATAATGTTTCTGGGGCTCGTTGGTTTGTATCCTTAATTGATGATTGCACCTCTTTTACATGGCTCTTCCTTCTTAAACAAAAATCTGATGTTAGCACAGTTATACCTAACTTCCATTCAATGGTTCAAAATCAATTTGGGGTTAAAATATAAAGCTTTAGGACAAACAATGCTAGAGATTATTTCAATCAAATTCTTTCACCTTATTTTCAATCACAGGGGATTGTCCATGACTCATCATGTGTGGACACACCCCAACAAAATGGGGTAGCTGAAAGAAAGAATGGGCATTTACTCAACATCACCTGAGCCTTAATCTTTCAAGGGAATGTTCCTAAGTCCTATTGGGGAGAAGCCGTTCTTACTGCCACACACATGATCAATAGGCTTCCCTCCCGTGTGTTAGAAAACAATAGCCCTATAGAGGTCTTAAATAGCTTCTACCCTCACTTCAGAACCTCAAATGGCCTCACTCCCAGCTATTTGGGTGTACTGCCTTTGTTCATGTCCATAAACAACATAGAGGGAAGCTAGATCCCAGAGCCATCAAATGTGTGTTCCTAGGTTACTCCTCCACTCAAAAAGGATATAATTGTTACAATCTCTCTACCAGAAAATTTTACATCTCTACAGATGTCACTTTCACAGAAAATAAATCCTTTTTTTCCAAGTCTCTCTTTAGGGAGAGATTTCCATGATGGAAGATAGTACTTGTGAGCCTTTGAACCACTTAAAACCCTTGACCTTTCACATGTGTCAGCCTGTGTTGTTGAACCTAGATCAAACTCTCCTCCTATTCCAGCTGAACCCGAGTCCTCTGAACCAATCAAATCTGAGTCACTTGATCTTGAACCCTTATTATCTCCTACTCCAACCAGTGTCACTAATGATTTCCCGAGATTTCCTCAGGCGTATTCAAGGAGAAAGGTCGTTCCTGAACTGACACAAGTCCAAGAATCCAATCAACTCTATCCACTATCTCACTATGTATCTCTCAAACGCATATCACCAGCCCACAAAAGATTCATTGTGAGTTTGAACACCATTGTCATTCCTAACAATGTGTCTGAGGCATTGACAAAAAAGGAATGGAGAGACGCTATGAAAGAGGAAATGAGTGCTTTAAAAAAGAATATAACATGGGAGATCGTTGACAAACCAAAGAAAAAAAACATTGTTAATTGCAAGTGGATTTTTACATTAAAGTACAAGGCTGATGAATCCCTTGAAAGATATAAGGCGAGGTTAGTAGCCAAAGGGTACACTCAGACTTACGGGGTGGATTATCAGGAAACCTTTGCTCCAGTTGCAAAAAT